CTGTTGATGGCTCCAGTCTTCGAAAACTGCTTAGAATAATGGTGGTGATAGGTTTAATTGTCTGGCATTGCCACCACCAATCCATCATTGAGAGTAACGAAGGATTCGCATAAGGACTGAATGCCCTGCTGCTCAATTTGTTTCAGCGGTAAATTGAACTGCCATATGCTAGGGACTCGGCACCAGTCTTCTTCTAAGCAACTCTCGGGAAAGGGAACCATCAGCAGTTTTGTCGTCGGCTAATTCAAGTCGGGCAGCAAATTTTAAGTGTCTTCACCTTCCACAGAAAATGAATTATTGGGAGATCGATTTTCGTATTTGCCGCACAGCTAAAAATGCAGGGCTAGTTTGCTGGATTAGTTTTGAGAGAAAAAAAAGTTATAAAAATAATCAAAGAAAAGTATTAGATTTTGTGATTTTCCGAAAGATTTCATCCATCAATACTTTTTTCAGCCCTTTTTTTGTATCTCAGTAAAACTACCTGCACTGGCCCGGCTTGTAACACATAATGCCTTTGAGTCCCTATTATACATGGCTTGCAAAACCATATACTCTGGGATGCACAAACAGTATTAAACTCCAAAATACAAAATTTAACTTTGCTTCCTTCTTTATCCACCTCCTCATGTTCACTCTCTACAATGATGGAGGCATTCAGAAGTAGCCGGAGTGGCAGTTCTTGCCAACAACAACTACGTGCTTGTAAGGCCATCAGTCATTTCCTGCTTCGCAGGTTGTTTAAAGCAAACTGATGGCGAGCTTGACTCCCCAGATAAAATTATCAAACACATGCTTGATGGTTAAAAGACAGATAAAATACAAATCCAGGCTGGGCCGCGCCAGGCCTGCCGTCGATCACGCGTTTTTGCACTAGACTTAAAGCAATCAGATTGTTAACTGCATGAATGGTTGTTCCTTTACATTTGTTTCTCCAACTTTGGAAGTACACTTTCACCGCATGAAAATTTTCTAGTGGGTGCCTTTGTCCAGCTGCGCTAGTAAAAGACGCATGAAGGCGCTAACAGACACCCTTATACAACCAAAAATGTCACATGTGTGGCTACGATAGAATCCTAAAGTCGAAAAGAGATCACTCGAGTTCTGTGTGCACCATGGAAATGGCAAAGTGATCCCCTATTTGCGCGCAGCCGCAGAGCAAACTTTAAATTCATGCGGCTGCAGTCAAAATTTAACGGACTGTTGACAGTCCGCGGTGTCTTGTTTCATCGCGCAGATTTATTTACGGTGGAGGCATGCTGCAAATTGGGTTACTGGGAATATCTTGAAAAGCCGTATAGCCTTGTGCGGATATCGGCAGTACAACTCTCAGTTCATTGACGATACCATAAAAACATCTAGAGTTCCTGTCAAAAATCTTCACGTGTCCGCACGTGAGAACCACGCGCAACTGAAAGCTGAATTTGAAACCTTTAAGTTGTACTTGAACGCGGGACATCTCCTTAAAATTTCAGCTTCCTAGATTTTTTTTGTTCCCGATTTGACAATTTTTCGAACAAAACTTTCAATTGCTCATGTATAGGGCTCAGACGTGCGCGAGTATTGGTACCGCGGTCCTGGAGTGTAACTTGGACAGGGAACTTACTGGTAAAATTTTAGCGCCGGAGCTTACTTGGATGCCAACTTGAAATACTCGCACAGGCGCGCACATACACGCACACATACACGTACACATACACACACACCCACACACAGACATACACACCATGGGTCGTCACAATGCGCGTTTTTATGCGTTTTTGATTATATGCAAATTGCAGAAACGCATATTGCGACGACCCTGCCTGTGTGTATGTGTTCGTCTGTCCGAGTTTTCAACTCGGCAACCAAGCATACTCCGGCGCCAAATTTTGCTAGTGGATTCCTTTGCCAAGTGCCACCTCAGGACCGCGGTACCAACCCTTATGCAAGCCTGAGCCCCGCGTACGACAGGGTAAAAGTTTTGGTGAGGAAACTGATAACTCGGGAACGAAAAAAGATAGCTGAGATTTAGAGATTATGATCTCCGTCTACACAGAACTCAAAGATTTTAAATTCAGTCCCCAGGTATGCATGGTTCCCGCATACGGCTCCGTGAGGGTTCCTGGCACGAAAACCGCTAACTTGGGAACCACGAAAGCTGGGAGGCTGAACTTTTCAGGGAATGTTCTTAGCATATATACAACTTGAAATGATAGAATTCAGGTCCCAGGCATACGTGGTTCTTACATACAGTCCCATGAAATTTTTTGACAGGGATATGGCTAGTTCGA